AGACCTATTTAGTCTCTTATGATTAACTCCGCCAATGTCCTGGTGATTTGAGCATTTCTCTTATCTGTTTTCATAATTTACCCTATTTTCCTACAATGTGGCTTGGTACGGCTCCGGGATGAATCAAAGCGCCATGCTTTCGTAAATTTAGAATAAATTAAATGTAGTGTTTTTACATTTGTCAGCACTACTAGATTAGGAACACATCGAACTCTTATACTCTGCTCAGAATATCAGCAAAACAAAAAAGGCCCCAACACATCTGCCTTTGTGCAGAATTACTCAATGTGTATTGTGAAGGAAGTGCACAATTGCACTGAATATGGTCGCATAACCGGAGAACAAGGCCATCAGCAGTAGTCTAAAATGGAGTGAATGTTAAACAAAATCGAATCTTTATAAAGGTATAACACACAAAACTATTTGTCTTTGATTACACAGACAAGCTTGTGCTTTAAAATATGCATGTAACTTCCAAAGGCCCTGAAAGGGAGAACAAATATAGGGTTCCATATTTTAGTACAACTCTCCATTATCTTTAGCATTACTCACTCTACCCGAGAATATTAATATAATCCAGGGGAAAAAACAGGTACGATTAGAAAATAAGGAGGCACTTGTTTTTGCCTTCAATGTAAAATATTAAGGCATTTCAAAAAAAAAACATGGTAGTTAATAGTGGATTACCTGCATGAAACGTAGCTGTGCAACGATTAACACAAATGAAGCAGTCAAAGCATGCTTAACAGGTTTGACACCTATACTAAATTCATTCCAAAAGTAGATAGAACAAAAAAGAGTTTCAAAGATACAGTTTCGCATCTCAAAGAATAACTTGAGACTGCAAAAAGACACATGTCATCGTTGAAATATTACTGCACAATTTCGTTTAAAGTACAGAAACAAAGTGAGCCTAAACGTGGGCTCTTTTTATTTTACCTAGTACAAGTAATTAGTATCGCTTGTCAAAATGCTTCTGTTTGACGTGGTATTCAAGACTGTAGTGATGCATAATTTTTACAGACAATAAGGGCAGAAGAGAAGCCTTAATCTCGCATAATTACTTGGGATATGAAGAAGTTCACATTTGAAATGCAGCAGGACATCTGTAATTCATTGTGTTTAGTCAATTGCTTTTAAATGATGATAAACCCAGGCAGATTTAAAACGCCTTGTCAATATTGCTAACACTTGTCCTTCTGAGTAGAAGTACTCACAGTCCGAAAGAGCACCTCATTTTAAGACTACTATAGTTAAAACACTCAAGTGTAATTGCGAATGCAAACAACTTAAGTCATTCCAGTGATGGCGCAACTAAAAAACCTCAAACATTGACTGACAGCTGCACAATTACCTCAGCTTCTACTGGTCAACGTTTGTACGTTAGCTGATTTGCATTGCTTCACTTGCATCTATTAAATAGCTGCTTAGTATTTCATAAATGTCTACTAAGTTGTGCTCATTGGCATTTTCGTATACAGTGAGCGAACACAAAATATAAGGGATTACATTACAGTGAATTGAATAACAACACAGAGTAACGGCTTATGTCCACCTAGCCAAACCCACCCGTATAGCCGGTTTCGTGACGACGGGCTATCTGTTTTACTATCACTAAATCATGTCATATATATATGTGTGCATATATGCATCAGTTGAATTTGGCAAAATTGGATGAAGTGTGCAACAAAAGTGGCACTGAATTCAAACTTTAAGGAGAAAAATTATTTTTGTTCAATGAAAAGAAAAATGTAATAGTAATTTATCTTGTGTTTATTTACTTTAGCTTATAATTTATTATTTAACAAACCTCCTTTCAATGCATCATAAAATGTCACAATGTGCAAGATATTCCTTTAATCCACCGAAATCTGCAACAGGTTTATTCAAGCACGTCTAACTCCAAGTTATTGCAAATCCATCCACCAGCTAGGGATGGGGTTTCCTCCCACATGCAATATCGCCCCTTACCTCATTAAACAGGAGTAGAATTTACGAGGCAACTAGTAGGCGGAATGAATGGGCAGTTAGTGTCAAAATATGAAACTACCGAAGGTATTGAAGCATTTGAAATGTTGAACGGTAAATCACAACTTAGGCCAAATGACTACGTGCTGAGCAGGCTTTGAAAATTAGATGATTGGTAAAAGATCCTACAAGTGCCTACCTTCCTCCTTTCATTTCGCATTTACTCATTCCTCCGAAATCCGTTCCTTTTCATCATTCCTGAAATGAGTGATCCTAGTATAAACATTCAGAGCCTATGCATTCATTGCAAACTCATTTATCCACAAAATAATTTTTCAAACCCTTTTATTCACTTATTCATCCATCCAACCATTGGGCGATCCATATTTTTCCTCGTTACGCCAATACATCAAGCCAGTTTCCATCATTGCAGTTAAAGAGTGTCTTTTAATAAGGACCTTAGTGAATTTGTAGGTAGCTCGTTATTCTACAATGGAATATTTCTTTGACAGGTAGAAATAAAAAGAACGAGAAAGACGATCAGTCGAAGCTAAGTGAATGCCCACATGTTTCCTCACAGATGGAAAGAAGAAATGAAGAGAAGTTAAAATCCCTAATGTCAAAATCGACCTCCTACTTTGTTGCACCGCCTGGGTTCGGTATGTGTACGTGCCTAGTTTGATTAGAGCAGCAGCTGAATAACCAAGGGAGCCTGTGGTATTATTTTCAGCCTGTATGCAATAATGTCCTAATTCACTCCCGCATAATTGGCTTCTGCCTCACCTACTCACACAACAGTAACTTTAAGCACGTGCATTATCAATGGCACATGCAATGCTAATCACAATCATTTCTTTTTTTCTGAATTCATTTAGATTAGGCGATATTTGGTAACAGCCTACCATACAATAAACCTGTGGTGCGAAAACAAATAAGTAGTCAAAGCATGGCATTTAACGCTATTTGCAGGAGTGTTCTCACTTGACTGAATGCAATAGACGACCGCACTTGATCTCTAATGCCTACTTTTGCGATCAGGTATGCTTAGATCGTATCTACAAAAGGTCGGTGCTTCAGAATTCCCCTGTGGCTGTAGCAATCATTTAAAATGTAGCCGCAGATGACGCAGTGTATCTCTGCCATCAATTGCAGGCTGAAGGACGAAACAAGGAAGGGATGATTTCTCAGTAAATGGAGATTGCTTTATAGCTTCATAATTAGCAATCACATGCGATGTTTGGATGAATTTTGTGAGAATACAGTGTCATCACGTGCTCAAAATTTGGGTTAATTAATTGTCCTTAGATGGCTGTATCGTGGCAGCAAAGTTATGGGGCTCTTATCACTAGCATCTATTTTCCCTACCTAATAAGAGGACCTCTGACAATCAAATCAAAGTCCATTTTAAAATGTAGTCCATTTGAGAAGAGCATTTCCTTTACGAAAAGGTGGAGACATTGAGATAATAATGATACTCTCAAGTGTGAGCACATCTGGTAGAGAATGAATGAAGTGCCATCCACTCCTCATCTACAGTAGTGTGCGAAGACCAATTAGATTACAGACGAATTCACCCAGAGTCGATACCAGGCGTTGGTGTCACAAAACACCAGTTGCATATGTGCAATGGTTGATGTTGTGGAAAAGATTATTTTGATATGGCACCACGCCTGGACCATAGATTAAGCTAACCATAGGCACTCAGGCCTGCAACCTTTACTCTATGGCTTAATAAATATAATTAATTAATTTTGTTTTCAAGCAAATAAGACCACAAAAAAATTTAACAAGAAGTGGCATCTTGCCCACTGTTTTAGTAAGTACTGTGAAGTTAATAGTTACTTAATATGTTTCCTTTAGAATACCCTATCACAAAACAAGGAATCAAGTAAATTATACCAGGCTCTACTCGGCAATGAAGCAGTAGCATATAAAATGTCACCTATCACATCCACCGCCCAAATTACAAATGCGGAGGACATTTTGACTTTCCCACCTAGCAATTGCCTCAGTTAGCAAAGTTGGGGAAAAGTTTAAAATCCACAGCTCATCCGAATGATTTGCGACGTCCTCTAGTGACAAACTAGCCGGTTGGGCTTAAAAACGTTAACGATATTTTTATATTTCAAATTCTGTTTAGTGAATTTTTGGCTGTCACTTCTACCAACATGAAAATTCAAGCTTACGAGTGGTGTGATTAAGGAGCCGGCAGTTATTTGAGAACAAATTTTGAACCACCTAACTGCTTGCTTGTAATGCCCGATTGCCAGGAGGTATTTTATGAAGTTCATATTTTTTTGCAGTTATTTTCCAATTATATTTTCTTAATTTTTCTTAATTTTAATTATATTTTTCCCCATTTTCAGTCCGTGCTTTCTTGGCTCTCATCTATGACGAACGTTGCTCTACCGATGTGTTGAGTTATCCACTACTAGAGGGCGCAAGCAATCAACTACATTCCATACCACGGCAATTGAGGTAGTGAACAAATTAAGCTGCCTGAAGGTTATTTTATCTTCATCGTTGGCTTTGAAAGCAGGACATTAGCGAACACAGTATGACAACGGAAGGAAACAACTGCATGTGAGGTAAGTATGCTAAGTAGGTAGTTGAGCATCATTTTAAGATCATGAAATACAAGTTTTTAGTGTCTACACAATTAGCGGCTTAATGGTCTGTCAGTAAGTCGAAGTGGAGAATTTTCAGCTATACAAATTCAGTAAAGTTAAATAAAATTACGATTAGTGCTAATTAACACTTACCTCAAAGCTCAACGCTTGGCTCCGGTTTTAATTAATGCAACTATGCTTCATGAAAAATAAACAAGGTTGATTGAATGACCCGAAGCTAAATAACCTCAGTCATAATATTTGGCTTAATATCGCGCCTTGAGCGAACAAGTTTTGTTGACCCAATGCAAATCCTTTTAATGATTTGTCACCGTCGAGAAATATGTAGAGTATAAGGATATCACCACTTTGCATCGGCGTACAATAGGGTGTCCAGGCTCTACCTAAGATTACTAATTGCTAAAAATTAAGCAAAGCTGGACGAGAACGTCAGATAGTGGGCACAGTCTGTGCAGGTTGTCATGTCTGTAATCATTTAAACCTAAATGCAGCAGTGCCATTGCACATCAAGGTTTATTTGTGTACAAAGTACTTCAGGCGAATTTATTAGCACTGGTCCTTAACAGACAGGTGCAATGGACGTGACATTGTGGTTTTATGTACGGTAACCCTACATCCAAACTGTATTTCTTATTGTATAGCATGAGTTCTGCCTGTCTAAAGTGTGATTATGGATAGACAGGGTCTCGGCCTAAAATCGCTGACGGTCGCCTGTACAAAATGCTGAATGAATAAGCACAATTGCATGCTTCCAGCAAAAAACTCAATACACCCTTGAAGATCGTCAATGGTTCCAGATCTGCAGCCAAACTTTTTTAAAATACTATTGGGCGATTTGGGTAGGATGAATACTGACAAATATTTCATCTGAATCACGCAGACAGTAATGCATTCATAACGCCGTAAATTAATTTTTTGACCTTTTTAATGCAGATGCTTGGCCTTTTTGAAAGTAGACTTAAAAGCAGCCTGTGCCTTTTAGCAAATAACTACAACTTGGCCGCGTAAGACTTTTGAACATAAATTACAGTCCACAGATTATTGCGACTACACGTCATGGAGAGATGCTCTATTTTGTCCCAATTTACTTCAACTCAGTAAACAGGCATCTCAAACTTTATTTCTGGTTTTCAAACATCCTTCTGTGCACCTGATGTTGTACTTCTGCCCGTATTGCTTGTGCCAACTCCAGTATCACCCCAGTCTAAAGCGTCACGTCAAAGTGAAGCATTGGGGTAAGTACAGACGATTATTCCGATTAAGTCAAGAAGTAGGAGCGCAAGTTATACTCGATTTTTTCATGTGCTTTTAATAACATCAAACCGTTTCTTTTTAACTGTCAGTAAATCTATTTGCTTCAAGACTTCATCAGATATGGCGAAGACTGTCATTTATCCTTTAGCAAATTCACCTGCCTTCAACATCACTGAAATTCAATTCACGCCGGTAATCTCCCATTCACTGCCTTGTACTCTACTTTGGTACTGGATATGGAGGCATCCACTACATGTGCTTTTCTTATTTTTAAGAAATGAGAAGAAATGATTCCTTTCGACGTTTGCTTATCCTGTGTTGATATAGGGAATACTTGAAACCACACATTCGAGGTGAGAAACTTTTAATGTAGGAACAAGAATTTGTGTCAAATGCAGCTTAATTTTTGCCTGTTTTGCCAAAATCGGGCACTCAAAGGTTATTTGGAGGCGGGCCGCATTCTGGATGTGACATTCGGTATGTCTGATATACCATGACCAGCTTTGTTTCCACTCAGTATTTGTGAGAAGATGATTTTACTTAACTGCTGTTGTAGTTTGGACGGCTGCTGAAGGACCTGTTTTCCAGAAATGCTCTGTTCCTCAGTGCCTTCTCATATTTATTCCCAAGCAGACGCACGTAAGCTAAATTAGATTTAGTGTTGTCATTTTTACCTCGTTTTAGTTATTCTGTGATGGTGAATACGAAGAAGAAGTAGGTATCAGTGAATTCATCCCTTGTTGCTTGCACAGATTATGGGTTTCAAGAGCCAGGTCATGCTGAAGTACATAGTTGCCGTGGAGTAGCTTTGCGTTTTGATGGCCTTAATTGACCCAGGTATAGTAAATGCAGGTGGCCTAGTTTTAGAATTTTAGTCAGATGCGACACCAAAACAAATCATTGCAGAGGCAGCAGCTCACCTTATAATGCCAATCCCCCGGGGCTTAATCAATTTATCACATCCACTGACAGTGGCAGTTAGTTTGAATATGAGGTGTTTTTGGAAGTTTGACATGCCAACGAACAGCAAATGCGCGTGGAAATAGAATTAAATATATGATTTCAATTTAGGCATCATCATGGCATTGGCTGTGACCGGACACGATTCGACCTAAATAGAGAACATCCTATTCGAACTCTGGCAAACATGGAAACATTTACAGCAGACGTATGATAAAGTGATATTCGGATAACTTCTCCCAGTCAAAGATGTTTAAAAGTGAAGTAGTTTTAGCCTGAGATTGAAACACTTTTAAGCATCAACTGGTCATGGAATCAAAGACCGACGATTTCGTTGGTTTCCATTTGCCAGTAATGAAATGCTAGCATATAGCTCAGAGGTGAGGCTGTGCGTTGCAGGATGTGGGAAGTCGATAGTATGCATAAATAGGCAAAAGTGTCCAAAAGTAGGGCATGCATTCCACGGTAGAAGAGACTGTATCTAACCTCATATCGACAGTGTGCATTTGGCTTCGCAGGCGCACTTCTACTTGTATTGGTCTCAGCTATCCTATGTAGTGGGAGTTTACAACACTGTCACGTGTAACTTCTAGTGGGTGCAAATGTATGTGGGTATAGCGCTTAATTCCGGAATGCTTAGTGGTCGACAATTATGTTTCATTGTTGAAGTGAGCTTGCGAAGTGGTATAAACTCATCGACTGTGGGACTAGGCTGCGCAGTGGCAACCTAACTCTTCCTAGCCCACCAGCGCTAACGTTTTTTACGCATTTCCAAATTTGGTTCTCGTCTTATCAGAAGAAATGCTCTTTCTGCTCTGTTGTGTGTTTCTTTCTTTCTTTCTGATCAAGTAGATATCCGTGTATACTGTTTTTACAAACCTGAATGTGCGAGGTGGTTTTAGCTAAGATTTGAAGTAGAGGAGTTGGCTTTTGCTGCTAAATTAATGTAATAAAATGACATGCTCAGCAATACTACTTCCTTGCTGTACAGAGATAACTCATTTTCCTTGCATTTGATGAATTTGCGTTAACCGTGTATTTCGTATTACTAGCAATAGACAAGCCTGCTGCGGACAATTTTTGTCTGTATTGCTAGAGCATGGAGAAAGCCGATGGCGGAATAAAAGAGCCGTAAAAGGTTGTACCAAATTATCATTTTTAGTCAGTGTAGTACAAAATGATGTCAGAAAGTGCACATAGATGGTAGGATTTATTTAAAATCCTTAACCTTATTTCTAAAATATATACAAGTGAGTGCAAAAGCGTTTATTATGATATCAAAGCAAATATGGGCATTGTTATAATGAATTTTATTGCATAAATAACAATCTTTGGAATGTTGATTTTGCAGCTGAGGGAGATACGCAAATCTAAACACATGGTCGAGGCGGCTTTGGCACAATCCACTGTTTTAAGACCTTGGTCACGTTAGTTGTGATAGAAGAGTGCCTGATTTATAATCACAAGCTTTATTTATTGCAAAAACTCCTTAAACTACTCCAAAACAAAGATTAAAACAAAATCCATTTCTGAATAGAATGGGAGGATAAAGTTTTAAAGGGCTAAAGTGGTCTAAATTTCCTGTCGTTGGCTGTATAATATGCTGAAATGACATGTTGCGATTCTTAAGAACGTGTGAAATCCATTTTTCTGGCTTTATCTAAATTCCTTCACCCGTACAGTGCCTTTTCAATATCAGCTGATCCTGGTTATAGCCATGCTTTCCTTCTTTACAAACATATTGCTATTCCAAAACTGGAGAAGCACCTTGCAAGATTCATAACAAAAGCAGTAAAATGAACTGCCATTGTCTACTAGAGGCCGCATTCACCTTAAATCTAACTGAATATTTACTTCCTACTCACCTGATGTAAATGTGAACTGTACCGTCACTACCATGCGAAAAATACTCACTGAGGTTTCAGACACGTTGATATCTGGCAAACGGATGCTAAGCACTTCCTCATTATGCAAAAGTTTCTAAATCACTTTCAACAGCCCAGCAAGGCGTATGCTTAAAAGGCAGAGGTCATTATATCTTCTGCCAAGCTGATTTACAGATGAATCTGACCATTTGAGTGCGCCTCACCAACAGCACGAACAGCTGTCAGAGATTAAAACCCTTCTACCTG